AAGCTTTATTTTAAGAAGCCATCTAGGCGTTTCATGCATTTTTGAGTCACTCAGCCTTGGGAACTTCCTTCCCAGGAGAGAGATTCTCATTCAAGCCTAAAGGAAAAGAGCTGCACGCCGTATTCTGGGCTTCCCCCCCACACACCTCACTTGGCACTACTTGCTTTAGAAATGAAGCTTTGAGAAAATTACTTTGGCAGAGCCTGGAAATACAGAGTCAGAGCAAATGTCAGCTATGATTCTATAATTAGAATCTGTGTACAAGCTTAAATTTAGTAGCAAAGTACTCAACCTGACACAACACTAGATTAAAACTCAGGATTTAAGAAAATACTGTTTCTAAGTAAGCATGTCAATAACTCATAGCACTGGCTTTTTTTGTTGGTATTCTCTTCATTCGCAACTCCTCTTGCAAACCTCAACTCATCAATGAAAGCTGCAACGCCAAAGTGTAAGACAGTCCGTATTTTTGACTCGTCAACTCTTACACTGCCAGCCTCACAACTGTTCTGATCAACAATTAAAATCGGAAGAAAGCAAAAGCAGGGTGAAAACTTCACTCTGCTAAAGCAAAACAGCTGCCATCTCTTAGCTTTCCTCAAACGAAATAAAACCACAGTGCCTCTATGTGCGAGAGTGAAACCAGGAAAAGGAGGGACAATTAAGCGGGGGGCGGGAACTCTAAGAAAGCAAAGATAATGTAAATCAAAATAATAAAGGGTCACACAAATCAGTAGTACCTTATCTATACTCTTTCAAAGGCAAACATTAAACATGTTGGTGCTAACCTGTACACAGCCAAGTTCCAAACCCAACTTCTGTTGTTAGAAGGATCTAGAAAAACATAATCAAATTTAACTGTAGTCCAGGGTCCGGAAGAAACAGGGTTCCAGTTATAAAATATCCTTTATTCTTTTATATTAAGTGTTGATGCAAATACTTGCTTGCTTTGAGCATTTTAAATAGCAAAATGGGGCAAGGCCGGGGGGGGAGGAAAAAAAAATAATTCAAAATACTTTTTATACTATGAAAATGTTTCCATATAGTCAGTGGCAACACTTCCTCTTCTGGACGTTTACTCCAAAATAAATGCAAGCATTCAGCAAAACTGAAACTACTTTCCAAGACGCACTCTGCAATCCACCTTGGGCATCCTTACTCCTATATACACCCAGGCAGAGCTGCAGCAGTTTAAGTTCCTATCCTGCCTTGTAACTTCACTCGACGGAAAGCAAGCTGAGCAAGGACAAACGTTAACACATGGGGACCAGCACAATTTTCTTAACCTGAAAACAGAGAACATCCTGCTTTTCCCCCATTTTAAGCAATGAAACCAATACATCATTTTAAACCTATATTTAAGGCATTCAAGAGATGTCACAAACCCTGTGTGTTCACAAACAGAAAAGGCTTTGCTTCCACATGACAGCGATGGGTGTTAAGGCTGTTTCCAGACACAGGCAGACCCCACTGTGTCAGTCCTGCCGCGGTTACCCTCTCCTCCGTCATCACAAGAGGCGGAAAGTGGGTTTTCGATAAAACGCAGGCCCACAGCACAAGACTACGATTAGATGGATTCAGCTATACAAACCAACAGTTCACTGACACCAAAAGGGCAGCCCAGCTCTCTCATCTTACTCACTACACAGTCCTCCCTCAGAGGAGCTCACCCTCCAGTAAGCCAGTTCAACACTGTGACCCTAGAAGTAAGTTGCTATTTTCTGGTCCTTCCCTGCTGGATGAGTGGGTTAAACCAACTCATTAAGGAGCCGAACAAGCACCAGAGCTGATGAAGGGAAGCAACACGTGGGAGCAGGACAGAGGTGGGTACAAAAGCAAGACGTTCTGCTGCCCTATTAGCAGCTGCACAGACTGGCCCAGAAGCACCGCACAACTGTAGGAGATCCTCATCTTCTTTACCCTTCAAACAAAGGGGAAACACACAACGTGGAAAAGATTTTTCTAACCCCGACTTAATCTTTGCCAGCGTAGCAACTGGCTAAATCCCAGTTCCTGAGAAGGCCGACCGCCGTACGTTTGCCAATTGCACAGGCACCGACCGCTGCAGGCTTCAGCACTGCTGCTGCAATTCCTCATGGACCTTGTATGCATAAAAAAAAGTAAAGCAAGCCCAAAGTCAGCCACTCCCCATATCCCCCCCTCGACACGGGACCCTTTCCTCCAACGCGAGCTGTCAGGTCTTGACCACGCGTGAAGGTCTTGACCCCAGCCAGCACCGCGACCTGTGCTTCACCTGAAGGCAAAGTCACCAGTCGGGCTCGAAGGGCTGCGGCGGCAGAGGCCCAGGAAGACGCTGAGGGATAGGGGCGGTTGGAAAGCCTCAGGAAGAGGCCACACGCGTCGGGAGAAGCGGGCACCGGGAGGGAAGGACGCCCAGGAGCCGGGCACGGGGGGGGGGGGCGGGAAAACGCGCGGGCGAGGC